TCAGAAGGGGGCTGGCACCCCTATAAAGGAAATCCAGAGCACCCCCTTCCCCACACTCACTTCGTGAGGACACAGCACAGAGGCTCACGCGCCATCTGGAAGAGGGTTTGGGCGGAGCCCGACCACGAGGGCCGCCTGACCTCAGACTGCACCTCAGGACCTGCGAGAGGAAGTGTCTGTGCTGCAGAGGCAGAGGGTCTACAGCAGCTTGAGCCAAGACAGGGCTGCGGGGCTGTACAAGGGGCAGGTTAGTGATGCATTTAACAAACAGGGTTAAATCACGAATGCTCTCTGCTGAGGGAAAGAGGTCAGCGCCATGAAGCTAAATACTGCCTGACTCTATGCAGATGACGTTCCGGGAAAAGTGACCTTCTGAAGATGGAGACCAGAAGGTGGCTCTTGAGAAGGGAGGGTGGGGGACGAGACTACTGAGGAACAAGGAGCGGGGCTTCCTTGGGCTGATGGAAATGTGCCACACCTTGACGGCTGCGGCTGGTCCATGGCTTTTTTGCCTTTCTCAAAAATAAAGTTAATTTTGCCACTAGGAAATTTTAAAAGAGATAAATAAACACGAACAAGAAACCTACAAAGATCATCAAAGAGCACAGAACCTTCAGTTAGAAAGGCACTGAGAAATTGAACGTGCCCACAGAGCTCAGCGTGTCCCCAAAGCTAGGGGAAGGTGCCTGAACAGCTGTGGCTGAGCCCAGCGACCAAGCTCAGTGCGGTCAGCAGCCAGTCTGACCCACAGGCCTGCAGGCCCAGTGAGACAGGGAGACAAAGCAGCTCCAGCATGTTCTTGCTAAAGGAACGACACAGAAGAGAGGAACAAGCTGGAGCACATCATACAGAAACAGTGGAACAAAACATCGAATTTCTACAATGTTATGAGACAAACACACGTGTGTCAAAAAAGGAAAGCAGGAGTGGTTTTATATTCAAAAGAAGTAATTATGAGAACCTTGCAAAACTAGCTGCAAATGACATTTTCTAAGAAAACAGGAATTCTGTATCTGGAGGACTGGACACTGACGCTACTAGGGCACTACCGGCTGTCTCTGATGTGGCAATGATGCTGTGGATGAGGAGCTGAACCCCTGTACTCATACGAGAACCACGCTGGAGCATTTGGATGCAAAATAATATGATCTCTGCATCTAAAATGCAACTCTCTGCTAATCTAGAGTGAATTATTTTCTAAGGCAGACAAAACAGCTCTTCTCTCCTCTTTCCTCTTTTTCTCTCTCTCCCTCCCCTCCCACCACAAGTTTTACATTCAAATAAATCTGGGAAACACTGCAAATTATACCCCTTTGAAGGTCCAAAATGACATAGTATACTGATGCTTCTAATTAGTTCTGCAATTAAGAATCCAATTTATTAAATTAATGTTTTCCAAACATGTTTGACCACAGAAGTTTATTTTCAATGAATGATTTCAAGAGCATATGGAACCAGTTCTGAAGACACTGATCTACAGAGACTTCTTGAGGTACATTATACAGCAATGGGAGTAGCAAAGGAAATAGCTTATAAATTGCTTATATTCCTTTAAATTTTATTTTTCTTAAAACACTTCATGAAGTTTCTTTAAAAACTTTACTTATTAAGCATGAAAAAGGAAACTTTTCTTAAGGCTTTCCTGTTTTTTAGCCATCTCTGGTATGGGAAAATACTTGGTTTGAGTTTTTACGCAATTCTGACCATGTGTGGTACATGCCAAGTTGGACCTTTGTTCCATTCAGCATTAGGTGGTATTCATATTTCCACACCATTTAATTTTTCAAAAATATTATCTTGAATTGGTACATGACATGCCTGTTTTACAACTAAACAATACCTGAGTAGACCCTTGCTCATCCTGAGATGCAGATTTCAATCGACACTTTTTTATGATTATGTCTGACTGTAGAATGAATAACGTGTGCAGATATTTCAGAGCCTACAGCCATTCCTTTCTTATGCTGGATTCCTAGTCAAGGCACCACGGAAGGTTAAGCCTCTTACTATCTCCAGCGTCGTTTTCAGAAAGGTTACACAATCTGCACTCTCATGGCCTGTAGTGCCCTCTACGGTGAACGGCATGACATGAGGAGAAGGCTTCTGTCTGCTGACCTAGAGCAAATTACTTTCCGATGTACCCTGGCTGCTTTGCGGTCATTTTTTGAATGATATGTTCAAGTTTTCTTCCGTTGTCCCATCAGGGGTGTCAGCTATTGCACTGTATGGTACTTTACAGATGCATTTTGATTCCTCGTCAATGATTTTACTTAAAAAAACTACTCTTCTTCCCAATTTTTCACTGTTTTTCTGTTTTAGAATGCCCAAAATCTGAAAATGAACCATCAAGTAACTATTGCAAGTGTTTTCTTACGATGCATACCCTTTTAGGTCTTTATTACGTTTACATTTAATTCAATTAGTTTAAAATTCCATTATAGTTTCATATCCCTACACTGTCAGCATCCAGCCTGATTTCTCCCTCGCCTGCTTAATTTTCTCAACACAACGCCTTCAGTACGCAATCTTTCAAGAGTGTAAGTTTCCTATTCCCTAAATTAAGATAGCCAGCGGCGCCGGCAGTGGAACAGTCACTCTAGTCAGAGATTTAAACAAAACCACGGTGATTCAGCAGTGCTGTGTGGCCCTCAGAGTGACAAATGTCAAGTACTGGGTGCTTCTGTGACTTTTCTACCATGGAAAAAAGAAAAAGCTTTTCCATTCTGAAATACATTTGTGAAAGAAAGGGAAAAGGAAAAGAAATCGTTGGCTTCATTAAAATGAAAGGTGAGATGGTAAAAATAATTCAGCACAGAATCTGGACCTCCAGGTGACTACCGTTTAAGACTGTAAAGAAAATGGGAATTAACTTCATCCTCACAAAGAGGAAGCTGGGGTTTTCCAGACCAAAAATCAGTTGTAGAAACTAAGCCCTTGCTTTCAAAATAATTGCAAGAACAGATTTCTTGCTAAGGCAGTCTGAAAGTCCTTGATATATTGAAGCCTTTCCATAAGGTGTAATTCTTTCTTCCTTTATTTTTTTTTTTAAAGATTTATTTATTTATGCTCACAGAACTGGGGTACAGGCCAGAAGTGTGATGGGTGAGAGGCTTCACCAGAGACAGAGCCAGGAGCAGAACAGACAGATCAACGAAGTACACTGCTGAGGGGAGCAGTGGGCAGGTCAGGAGAGGTCTGCCGCACCTTGTGGGTCGGCTCCCTTGCAAGGGATGGAACTCGTGCTGCAGCACGGCTTCAGAGATCTTCATAATGTGGTGCTTTAACTCACTGCGTCACCAGGGAGAGCCCACAATTCTTTTTTAAAAAGATTTATTTTATTTATTTATGTAATTAAGAACTGAGGTGTAGGCCAGAGGTGGGAGAGGGGGTGAGAGGATTCACCAGAGATGAGTGGGAGCAGGACAGGTGGATCCACTGAAATACACTCTGAGGGGAGTAGCAGGCAAGACAGATGTCTGCTGAGCCATATAGGTCAGCTTCTTGGTGGGGGATCAAACTTAGGCCGCTGTGGTGATAGCTTCATAGTGCTGCAAATTAATCCCTATGCAACCAGAGAGGCCCTAAAGTATAAATTATTAAATTTACTTAAATGTTTTGAGAATAAGATAACAAAACAGAAAAATAACTTGAGATATCAAAAGTAGATAATGTTTAGTATTTTCTATTACTACTTAGTATGCAGCTTTTTTCTGTGCTATCTTCACAAGGAGTTTTTGGTATGGAGTATGATTTAAAATTAATTAAAAATCAACACCGTACTATCAGATTACTTTTTGAAATTTCTAAAAGTGGTATGAGTCTTGATTTTTGTTACTAAATACCAAGTATTTTTCAGCAAAAAAAAAAAACAAAAAAAACAAAAATTATTTACATTAGCCTAGTAATAGGTATTTCCTGGTCTGTGTCTGTATCGTCTCAGTAAAGTACTGTAACTTCCTCCTGTGGACAAAAATGTCAGACCCTTTTCTGTGGCTATATTTAAAATTCTCGCCATTGTCCCCCCTCACCCACACGGCTGCTGACTACTCCTTAACACAGAAATGGCTGCACTCATCCCACGGCCACAGTCCTTCTCCACTTGGCCTACTTATTTCCAAGGCCTCTGGAGCAGCTGAGCCTAACTTCCTAGTCTTCTTTTAAAGCTCTGTTAGAGCTTGGCTCCTGTCTGCAAGACCCTTCCATATCACTGCAGCTCTCTAAGGTCCTACCCAAGGCTACCACCTCTGAAATCCTGAGTGCTCTCCTTAAGAAAAAGCCCCACCTCCCACTGCCTGAAGCACTTTGCCTGGGCCACCAGGCCCTGGTGTTACTGCTGCTGTGTGAGGGCATCAGGGCAGGGTTACCTCTGTGTCCATAGTGTACCTTCCACAGTATGTGACGTACAGTAAGGCTGTCATGGGTGCTGGCTGAAGGCAAAGGTGATGTCTTATTTTGCACAGAGGATGGTTAGTTACTGCTAAAATAACGGTAATGCCAAAAGTCATAAGCCAAAACCAGAACAAAGATGGAAAAATACATATAGGTTTTTCTATCAGTTTAGAAAAGACCCGTTGGAAAGCTGGTCAGAAATGCAAACCCTCGTCTCTGCCCCGAGTCTGAGTTCAGGCTTACCAAGCTGTCTCTGTGATTTCTGAGCAGGGTTTCTGGGCAATGCTAATATACAGTGACACATAGCCAGCCAGTAAGGACCAGAGGAATCTACACTTTTCATGCACCTAGATTTTGGGGGAGCAGTTTCTTGACTTGAATGCCGAGCATATCATGCTGCAGGCCTATAAAAAGCAGTGCTTCACAACAGTCTGGCACCTCGCAGCCAGGTTGTGGGAGCACAGCACCACACCCCATTCCTGGGATCAAATCTACACACATTTTTCCATCTTCGTACCCTTTTAATAAACTACTTCAAGTTTCACTTGCTCCAAATACTCCTTTCTCAGACTTGTGAGGTGAGTTCAAAATAAACGAAGGCTACTTCTTACCTCGGTCCCGGAGGCTGGCCCTGAGCGCTCTCTCCAGCTGCTCCTCCTCGCTCAGCCCTGCCGTGTAGGCCTCATAGTTTCTGGGCGCCTCCTCAGGGTACCCCGGCCCACCGTTGGGGTAATAGCCCTGATATCCTGAAGAGCCTGCGGGCACAAGGAAAGGTTACAGAGCACCACCCTACCATGGACTGCTCCTGTCACGCCTCTTGTTCTGTAAGCAAAGACCAGCAAGCAATTATGTCATTTTCCAAGGCTAGTGGTACTCCTCAAAATAAGCTGGCAAACAGAGAACTCCTTCGTGAGGACACGATCATCCTGCCCGGATCCACGGGGCCCCCTAGTCAATCTAGAAGGTGGCATTGGCCCTGGGGAGGGGGCTGGGAGGGGTGGTGGGCGGAGGGAGCAGATTCTTTCAGATTGGAGCCACTTAATATTTGGCATATTCACTAAGGCAGATTTTAGTGGGGGTGACGGCTCCATACTGGAGACGGAGCCCACAGGGTTTCTGGGCTGGGCACGCACGGGGCCGCGATGACCACACTCACATGTATCAGCTTCTGTCTCTGTGACTGATTCCCTCTCAGAGGCCACAGTTTCTATTAATAATTTTTAAGGAAACTGGTTGCCAGATAAAATGAGGGAGAGACAGGGTCACCATTCAATGATGCAGACACCCCGTTAATAAAGGTCGCGGTGCCAGGCTTTCCCACTGGTCTCAGTCAGTTGGCCTTTACGTCTTACATTTCCCTTAATCACTCACAGCTGTGCAATTTGTTCTGGAAGAGGCGCTTTCTCCCCATCAGTTACCAATCTACTTCTGGTTCACAAAAGAAGTAATAGTTTGTTTCTTCTTCGCCTTCTTTCCTTTCATTGTCATGTCTTTTATCAGGTGATGTTTCGAATGTCTAATTAATTTACTTTTTGCTGGTGATCACAGGCCCAAGTCCTGTGGCTCCAGATCACCCAACACAGGACAGACCTGAGTTTATGCTTCTCATTGCTTTAAAAAACTATAGAGGAGCACTGCAGGGTAAACCTGTTTTTCTGAGATTTCATATTCAGAACTCTTAATAATTGATCCTGAGACCATTTTAAAATTTACTGTTTAGTTAGTGATGAATAAACTGTTTTCCTAACATACAAGGTTAACATACAAGACTAAGGTTAAGGGAAATAATTAAGCTATTTCCAGGTACTATAAAGCTATTTTCATCTTAACAACAAAATAACAAAACATACCAGTCTTATTCCAACTGATAATCTGTCGTGTACAGTTGTCATGTAAAGTACTTGTGTCTATTGGTTATGCTTTTATAGCCGTTCCATGAGAAGCAACTGATAAGCTATACAATATACTAATTTTTATAACTTGATGGCTCTTTGTTACTCATAAAATTGTGCCATCATTACCACAATCCACTTTCACTGCCCAAGTAAGAAACCTTTGATCTTTATCTATCACCCACCCTGTCTTGCAGCCTTAAGTAGATCCTAATCTACTGTCTGTCTACAGCTTTGTCTATGAAGGCCAGTACTGTAAATGGAATCATATAATCCATGTTTTTGTGTCTGCCTCATTTCATTTAGCATAATGTGATCAACGTTCATTAACGCTGTTGTGACATGAATCAGTACTTCCTATTTTTAAATGGCCAAATTCTATTCCATTTTAGGCTTATACCTTATTGCTTTCTTCATTCACCAGGCCATAGACAATTGAGCTATTTCCACCTTTTGATCGCTATGAATACTGCTGCAATAAATATTCATATAAACATTTTCTTTTAGTGGACAGATGTTTCCAGTTCTCTTGGGGACACAGCTAGCAGTGGAAATGCTAGCTTCTACGGTAATTCCATGTTAAAGCATTGAGCTACCCAAAGCCTGCACCATTTTACATACCTAGGGAGTGGTACGCATGGGCCCAGCTTTCTCCACACCCTCGCCAGTACTTCTCATCATCACCTCTCTTAGTATCGTCAGCCATCCTGATGTGTGTGAGCTGGGAAGTCCGTTCTGATGACCAGTGATGCTGGGCATCGTAATAGTTTTGACCATTTGTGTCTCTAGAAAACTACCTGTTCCAAGCCTGTACTCATTCTCCTGATGATTACAACTCCTCCATCTTGGTGTTATTTTACGGAAGGTCCTTGAAGGTCACAATATTTATAAGAAACATTAAATAATATTGTTGAGCATTATGGGGGCTAATTCTGACAAGTGTAAAAATGAGGGGAGATTTACTAAGTACCTCTAAAACTTCAGCTCCCATATTCTCACATTTCCCATGTCAGAATATTAACATTATGATACACAAATGAAAGGAGGGTTTAAGTACACTTCTCAAATCCTCACAATAATTTAGAGCTGAAGTAGAATCTGGATGTACTTTTTTTTTTTTATATGTATGGAATTGGGGTATAAGCCAGAGGTGCAGGGGTGGTGAGGGGATTCACCAGAGACAGAGTGGGGAGCAGAACAGGCAGA